AAGAAAAAGACACTGTCCCTAATTTGGGGGAGTTGGCAACATTTTGAATTGTCTCCTCTCCATATACAAATTGAAACATCACCTACTTTGTAATAAAGGTCATTTAAGGTGGTTTTGCCTGATTCCTGTGAAAAGTAGGCAGGATCTAAAACCTCTATCAGGTCTTAGACTGAGGTCTTATAACAATGTCTGGTAACCTAAAAGCAAGAAAACTATCAATTCTCCCTTTGCACTGGACTGTTTTTCAGCCAACCAGCCTGAACGTCCTGACTTTGGACTTTGGACAGGTCTTGTGGAAGCATGGCAGAGTTGGGGCCCTGACTTGACAAACCCACATTCAGTCAACACTGCCTATCTGGGCCTCCCAACAGTGTTACCGATGAGCATGGCCAGACTAGGTCCTGTGAAGTGTTCTTCACTTCTGCCATGATTCTTCCAGATAACCCCTCATTAGGCTGATTTTTAACCTGTTGCCAGAACCAGAAAAATCTAGGAACTTTCTATCTACTCCTACATAACAGTACAAGTCAATTTTGTTGATTACTTGGAAACAAAAATGGTTTGGAGGCTCTGGCTATAGATCTACTAAATTAATTTAATTAGAAGTCTTAGGCTTTCTCTACCTTCAGAGAAATGAAAGCCCTTCATTTCCCAGAAATACGTCTTTATGGCTACTATGTTAAAAATTTAGATGCTTTTTTGTCTTAAAAATATATGCATGGCTTATTTTTTCTAATTTTTATTGTAATAAAGTGCACAGTACAAAATCTGCCATCTTGATTATTTATAAGTGTACAATTCAGTTACTAAACATTTTTACGGTATCATGCTACCATGTCACCATTCAACTCTGTAACACTTTACATGTTTTAAAACTCCAGAACTCTTTCCACCTTATAAAACCATCGTAGCCTCTGGAAACTACCATTTTACTTCCTTCTTTATGAATTTGACTACTCCTAAGTACCTCATAAAAATAGAATCATGTACTATCTGTCTTTTTTATGACTGACTTATTTTACTTAAAATATGTCTTCAAGGTTCACCCACAATGTAACATATGTCAGAATTTCTTTTCCTTTTTAAGCCTCAATAATATTTAATTGTATGTGTGTATCACACTTTACATAAAATGTGTGTGTGTGTGTGTGTGTGTGTGTGTGTGTGTACATATGTCTATAAGTATATATCACATTCATCCACTGGCAGACACTCAGGATGCATCCACCTTTCAGATTTTGTAACTACTGTGAATATAAGGCCATATTCATAGCAAGTCTCTGAAACTCTGCTTTTAATTTTTTGGAATGCATACCCAGAACTGGAATTACTGAAATATTTAGTAAATCTACTCTTAATGTTTTGAGGAACCACCATTTCGTTTTCCACAGTGGGCGCACCAATGCTAGTGTCCACAGCTTCTAGTTCATCTGTATCCTCACTAACACTTTGCTCTGTTTCTCTGTTTTTGATAGAGTGGCCACCCTAATGGGTGGGTATGGACACTTGTGCTGTTCTTGGCAGGTGGTGACCTACTTGGCAGGATGTGGCCTACAGAGCTGCCCCATGCTTCTGGCCAAAGGATATCCTGACGTCGGTTGGAATCCCATTGAAGGGGAGCGCTACCTGTCCTTCCTGAGGTTTGCCGTCTTTGTGAACAGTGAGTCCCACATTTTCCATGCCTTTTATGTCAAGGATATATCATGGATACATGCAAGAAAGAAATAATTATTTAATTATTTCCTATCAGTAAATATAATAGATTCTATAGGTACTTGGTTCTGACAAGAGAAAGCTCAGGGAAAACCAGACCAGACAAAGACCAAGAGAAGAATCCAGTGACAGAGCATTGAGCTCTAATCCCAGATCCAGCAAGAAATTCATTGCCTGGGCTTAGATTTGTGGCCTCCTTGTGCCTCTTCTATCTGTAAATGAAGAATCATATTAACATCACCTTGCCTGTTCCACAGAGCTAAATGCCTATGTGTCTCCAGGTCCATAGAATATTGCACATATTAGGGCATGAAAAAAATCAGTAATAACCAGAGATGTAAAAGGTAACTAAACTCTCAGGAGGAAAAAAAAAATGTGTTCTAACCTACCTTGTTTTTCTTGATTGAGGTCTCCCTCTGTAATGAATTCCTATTCTATCAAAATACTTTAGTTTTGCCACAACAATGTACTGAATATTTCATGGAATAAATGAACTACTTGCAAAGATACCATGTCTACCAAGAACTTGTTACAGTATTAATTCACTCATATTTGTATTACACTTATGAACCTTCTCCCTTCTTTCCATTTCATATTCCAAATTAATAAATTCCACTGGCCTGGTTAAGTGTTCTCTAGAAGAGATTGCAGCCAATAAAAAAATCATGTCAGTTATTTTAAGGATAAGAATTTACCTCAATGGCCAGCCTGATAGCTCAGCAGATTAAAGTGCCTGCTTAGGCAGAGTGCAGTGGCTGGGGTTCGATCCCTGGGGGGCGCACTGAGATGGTGACTAAGACTGGGTGTGGTGGCACTCACCTGTAATCCCAGCACTTGGGAAGCTAAAAACAGAAGAATCACTGAGTGGGATCTACATAGTGAGATCCTGTAGACCTTGTAGACTCTGTCCTAAATACAGGAAAAAAAGAATTTACCTCAGGAAGTACTGACATAAAGTCATTATTCCATTCCCAGATGCTTGTCTTCCTTCTTCCATCCCACCTGCTCACTGTCCGGATCCACACTATCTAGCTTAATATGTGAATAAGTTCTGTTCTGGAATTTCCCCGTCCTGACTGGATTACAGACCTTGAAATGACTGTGTTTGGCTGGCACTGATCTGGCTGGTTTCCTAATCAACTCTTTTCTACTCCTTTCTGTGAATTTTCAGTTTTACTAAATTCCATTTTCTTCTCTTTTTTTTTTTTTCCTGCAGAACCAGGGATTGAACTCAGGCCCTTGTGCTTGCCAGGGAAGCACGTATTCTACTGAGCCATCTCCCCAGCCCCTCCATTGTCTTCTCTCAAGCCAGTTTCATAGTGTCCTTTAATAGTCTGGTTCACTTCCTACCTAAATAATTGTATTCCAGAATTAATACAATTATCAAAGCAGTAAAGAGAGGCTACTTTGTGTGTGGAGTGAATTTGAAGAATTCAGTTTGCTTAGTGGAATTGCAAGTTGCTTAGTGGAATTGTTGACATATGTCAGAAGGTAAAGGAGTCCAGTTATTCTCCTACTTGTATTGTCCAAATCCCAATGAGAATGCATATAAATGCCCACTTCCTTTTTCTGGCTAGCTCCAGGCTAAGGTGCTTAGTCTACCTCCTCTACTTTTACCTTGCTCTGCCTTTTTTGAAAAACATTCTCTATAGTACAATTTTATACTACAACAAACTAGAAAATTGGCCCATTAATAGTAGCTCCCATTTTAACTTAATATTTATTTTACCTCTAAAATATAAATGAAAATTTTGAGTTTTCACAATGTTGGCTGTTTCTTTCAAAAAATGTATAATCTTGGGTTGGGGAGATAGCTCAGCAAAATAAGTGCCTGCCTGGCAAGGGTTGGGTACTAAGTTCAATCCCCGGTACCGGAAAAAAAAAAAAGTATAATCTTTCAAAAGAAATCACTTCTTTTTCAAATAAGTAAAATAAAACAGGGAAAAAAAGAAGTTCACAAAAGGAAACTCACATCCTATAAAGATCAGGAAAGGCTGCATGGAGGAGGTACTGTTAAAGAGAAGCTGTGAAGAGTCAAGCTTCCAGATCAGTAATACTCTCAGAGAGCAGATGCTCAGTGGCCTGACAGCTAAAATCATGCTATCCCAGGAAACAGTGACTTTCCCTTTCTTATCTACAAAAGTTTTGTTTCCATTTTTTCTTCTATTGTTTTTATTTTCTTTTCATTTCCTTTCTTCCCTCTTCACCCTCCATTATTTCTCTTCAAAACTGAACTCCAATATTCTCTTCTTACTTCCTAACATTGGTCATCCTTTTTTTTTTTTTTTTGTATTTATAGGGAAGGGTCTACAAGGTGTTCAGGGTCTCACTACTAGATCAGACTCATAGTGATCTGCCTGTTTAAAACCTCCCAAGTGCTGGAATTACAGGCATGTGCCACCACAACCAGTGTCTCAATCAACATCTCAGTGCACCCTGGGTATGGGGCCAGCACAGCAGGCCAGGGAATCAAACTCCTAGCCCCTGCATCTGCCTAAGCAGGCACTTCCAACAGTTTTTAATATTCTATTCTTGTGTTGAATTTCTGGAATCTTGTCTGTTACATGCCTTGGTGTAGTTTTTTCTGATCATGGCTAATTGTAGTTCTGTATGACTCATGCATCTGTCATTTTTTTTCTATACTTAGGGAGTTTTCTGCCATCACTTCTCTGAACAGGTCTTTTATGTCCTTTGCACCATCTTCTGATTTTTCATTGATTTTTATCAATCTTATGCTATTCTTTGCATCACCTAGCAGCCGTTGGCTTAACTTTTTGAGGTCCCTTGCTATCTTTAAGTTTTTCTTTTGAACACTAACTACAAACCTGTCTTCTAGATATGATATTCTGGTATTTGGGATATAGCTCAGTAGTACAGCACTTGCCTGACAAGTGCAAGTTCCTAAGTTCAATTCCCAATACCAAAAAAAAAAAAAAAAAAAATATATATATATATATATATATATATATATATATTCTGTCCTCACATTGGTTGATTCTGCTGCATATACTTTCAATAGAATTTTGAATCTCATGGATATCCATTTGAATCTGTTTCATGAAATTCACTTGTTTCCTATGTGAGGCATTAATGGTTTCCATCCTAAGTGCCCCTATTTTTTTTAATCTGTATCCAGTCTATATTCACTATGTCCTTGTTAAGGCCATCATCTCTATAGTTATCTGAGAAATCATTTTTTACTTTATTTTTCCTCGAACCTCATTCATATGCTTTCTCACTTCCATTTCAGAAGGCTCAGATGAGTGACTTCTGATTCCTTCTATCCTACTGCCCCCTGGATTTGCCTTGGCAAGCTGGAGTTCTGGGTTTCCATCTTGCTTCCATGTCTTCTCATTTTCTGTTTTTTAAAAATTTGTTTTCTGTGTTGATGCTTTTAAATTGCTTATGATACATAGCTTTATTACAAGTATAAAGACCTCCTTAGAAAATGATTACTTTCTAAGGAGGTCTTTATACCAGGTATGTCTTCTAGGTATAGCTGACTTTCGACTTTGAGTCTGTCTCAAGGTCACATCTCTTCTACTTATTAAGGTTGGAAAGGTGTTCCCTATTTGGATCAGCACTTAGTTCTCTGCTATTTGATCATGGTTTTTTATGATGATCAGATAATGTTAGTATTGACATACAAGGAAAAAGAACTGATCACAGCAACTATGTCACCTTAGCTAAAGTAGTACAATCAGTAATAACAATAGCATCAATCACAGTCTATAAAATGACCGTGGTTGAGTGCCTCCCCAACCCCGCCCGCCGAGTAGGATTTTCTGCCGAGTTCCGGGAGCCCCCAGACCCAGTCCTAGCCCAGGAATTGCTGCCGACTTCCGGGAACCCC